TCAAAAATCATGAGACAAACTTAAAAATCAAGAGGTTTGGAATGTAAATCATGAGACGCTATTTTTGAAGTGTGTGTGGGGTGTCCATTATCGTGTCACAGCTGTCATGTTTGGTGTGCTGTGTTAAGGGATTTGCCAGGTGAACCAGCAGCAGGTTTGGCAGAAAGGACAGAGTATTTGTATAAAGAATTAGGCAGGGAGGGAAATGCCCAAAGAAGCACGGGGGCGTCTTACAAAGCTTTGGGGACCTGCTTTCCTGCCTGCTGTAGTCTAGTGCTGGTTCTCCCCACGGGCAGCCTTGGAGCGGCAGATCCATGGAGGACTTTGTGATATACATCAAATAACCCAAATTCACACCAGACATGGGAGTCTCTGGGGAGAGCTCACAGTACACCAAGAATAAGCAACTGCTTTCACTGGGAGCTGCAGAACTAATTGCAGCGTCCATCAGTGATGAAGGACGTGTCTTCCATCCTTCTCGTGACTACTGGCGTAGTCCAAAGCTTGCTGAAGTCCATGGGAAGCCTCCCATGGATCAAGTAGACTGGATCAGAGCCTGAAAGGAAAGAGTTCCCTTAGTTTTAGGCAAGCACCGTGCTTTGTTTTACGCGGACCTGGGGTTTGAATTTGCACATGACCCGGCTCAGTGCAGATACTCCAAGCGTACAGTCCAGCCTAGCACTGCTTTCTGAGATGATAGAAAGCACTGTCTACCTACAGATATTCCTGCGGATGTGCCGTGTCAAAACCCAGACACATAACAGCACGGTCCACGTCCTGCCCCGTGTCTTGTCTCTGAAATGACACATATGGTCCTGGCTTGGAAATGCTGCCGGTGTCCAAACACCTTGCTGAGACAGCGGGCGCAGGAACCAACATGATCCCACACAGGGGTCAGAGACCAGAGGGAATACCTGTGTTTTGGCTTTATTTCGCTGTTCCTAGAAAGCAGCTTATCTCTAGTCTGCCCTGGACTTAGTGGTGTTGCCACTATAGCAATGCACTTCCTCAGCCCGTGCTCACGCCCTGCAACGGCTTTGCTCTGTCGATGCTGCGGGGAGTCCTTGGTGATGCAGCTCAGGGCAATAAAATACCTGGCCTGAGCAGGAAAGGAGCTTCACAAGGGATTTCTAGAGTCCAGAGACCTAAGACCAGCTGGGAAATGGCCTTCACACAGTGCAGATCTCCGCTTCGTGCAGCAGGTCATCAGAGCGTGTGCACAGGTGTGGGGGTGCGAGGCTGTCCAGCGGCTGGGTGGAAGGATGGATCCTGGTGATGTTTGAAACCAAGCTGGCAAAGTTGTCATTAAAGGCAGGCTGGGAGATGCAGGACAGCACAACAGGACAGGCAAAGGGTGACAGTGTTAGCTACCACAGGATGACCCTACCCATCCCCTGGCACGCCGTTTTCCACTGGTGATCTGCTGAGTCCTGGGACACTTGTGGTGCTGGGGGCTGTCTCGAACGCCCGCGATGGCCGGGATTCGGTATTGTGAGACGTTTCCTTTCCCTCTGTATAGTATGGTAGGAACAATGCCTAGAACTGGGTAAATAATTGATTTTCCTCTTTGCTGGCTGAACTGAAAGAGAAAAAAAAAAGATTTTTTTTAGTTTTCTTGGAAAAATAAGAAGTCTTTTTTTCTGGAGGGGGGGTTGGTTTGGGGCGGGGGGGGGGTTGTTGTTTGAAACACATTCTTCCCAACCCTGTCTTAAAGCTCAATGTGAACAATTTGGGAGACAAAACTATTGTGTCCAAAACAAATTGGAAAAGTTTTATTTGTTCAAAAACCACATCAGGTGAGGTGACCAGGGTTTGACTTCTCCACTGCTTCCTTTGCTGTGGCTCAAAGCAGTCACCAGGCTGGCCCAGCTTTGAAGAGTTTCACCCTCCTCCGCACCCCGGGATATTTTCAGAGACTAAACCTTTCCCCCAAACCCCCTCCCAGCTCTAGTTACGTGATGCCTCAGCTCCTTTTCCTCCTAGCTCTTGGAGTGAATCTCTCAGCGTGCCTGTATTTTAGGGCTAGGTTTTGCCATTGGGGCTGTAGCTTGTCCCACGTCATCGACAGCAACCTGGATCTGCATTTCCATGCCCCAGTCCCAAATTGCAAGGCAGCGATGGGAGCTCTAAATCAGTGGTTATGAATGTTTCTAGGCTCAGGGGTCCTCTTGCTAGACTCAAGCCACCCCGAACATACCAGCTCTGAGCTTTTCACTCATTTCTTGACTAAACAGAGCAATTCTCCTGTGGCCAAGAGCGCAGAAAGACCCCAGCAGGTCAGCATGGCTTTGACACTCTGCACTCCTGTTTGGAGTCTCTTGTGAAACACGTGGAAGTGTTTGCACACCTGAGAGTGCTAACAGTGCACGGCACCCCACAGAGCTGGGTGCAAATCACTGCTGTAGGGGGCACATGCATGTTTGCACAGCAGGTCCCCCGAGGCGAGGGTTTGCAGGGAACCCCATCCTTCATCTCTGAGCGGCTGCCCTCTTCGTGTCGTCGCGTTTTGCCTTGACTAGGATCTAGGCAAATGCCGCTGGGCAAGCCCGGCCCCGGGAGGACTCATGCAATGGTGCAGCCTTCTTCTTCTGTCTCTGCATTAGCTCCTTGGCTTAGGGTCCGTTGCCCAGGTGAATCTAGGAGGAGGAAAGTTTGGGGAATACCTGAGCATCAACCTGTCATTTGGACTGGGCGTCGCTTTGGGCATCCATGCAGCTGGCGGGATCTCAGGTGAGTGAGCACGCCGGATGGAGGGCACGGAGGGGCATCTTCCTGGAGCTGGGTGCTGGGTATGCCCTCACGGGAGGTGGCCTGTGGGCTGGTGCTGCTGAATAAGTTGTGTTTTAGTAACACTGTGAGGACCCTTCCCCTGGACACTGAGACCCTGGGGGAAGGCTTTGCTGTCCTAGCAGCACTGGTGCAGCACAGGGAGGAGGAGCCTTGGACACACATCTGGGTGCTGAGGCTGCGGAGGTGGGAGTATTGCGGGAGGGAGTGGAGTAGGGAGTCACCGTTCCCCGGCTCCCCCTTCAGAGCACATAGCCCCTTGGTTCCCCTTGATACACCGCCCAGGTCCAGAGACGGACCTGCCCATCCCTCCCGTGGATGCGATAGGAAGCACGTGCCACCCCTGATCCCAGTGGAGCAGCTTGGGAAGAAACTCAGAGCATTAGGGTTCCCCTCCCCTGCCCAGGCCCTGCACGGGGTGACTCAAAACCCTCCTTTCACTATTTCTGGATGCACTGGTTTCCCTGCCAGGACTCCCTGCAGGGAAATGAGAGGGCAACAAGGGAGTTAGGAGCACTTTGGACTCCAGTTTCCTTGAAATAAATCTTGTGTTGCCTGGATCTTGCCCAGTGGGAACTCAGTCTCTTGCTCTATACGAAATTCTGGTGCCAATGGCACTGAGCAGCTTATGAGTTTGATCCTAGATACACACACACACACACACACACACACACACACACACACACACACACACACCTGTAGACATGCCCATCTGCAGACATGCCCATACACACATGCACGCACAGACACACACCTCTCTATAGACATGCACACACAGACGCACAGTCATGAACACACACACAGGCACGTACACATGCGCACACATGCACGTGCACACTAGGGATATTGTTTCAGGGCAACAGCACTGGATCTCTCCATGCCTCTTATCTTCTGTAATCGCTGTGCTTGTCTGTCCTGGCAGAAGAGACCGGGGCCTATGCTGGCAGGGAACTGAGCCCAACCCTTGCTCCTCACATTGCAGGATGAAATGTGGGATTTCTAGGGGCAGGGCATAGCAGGGGGTGTAGGAGAAAAGGAAGAGCATCCTGGCATGAGCAGCCTGCTTGCAGCCTCACTGTCCATCTGGAGGTGATAGATCTGCTCTGGGGGAAGGAGGCTGGGTGAAGGGGATGACCTACACCATGTTTGTTAGCAAAGGGATTGACCTTCAGATACAAGACATGAGAGGAGGTGTCATTTCAGCTCAGGCAGGGACGGGGCTCATACTGACCGTCACACTCAGAGTCAACTTCAGATCGCGGGTTGGCTTCACCTCTGCAATGAACAGAGAGGAGACTCCTAGGACAATGCTGTACAGGTGGACTAGGGGTAGTGCGTCCCAGCCTACAGCAGCTGGCAGGGGAGAACTCGCTTGCTGCTCTCCGGTCCCATTCGGATTGCCAAGCAGGGTCCTGCCAGTGCCTCATCCCCCCTGCTTCTTCCCTGTTGTGAGACAGTGCCGATGAGTGAAGCCGTGTCTTGGTTCATTTCCAGAGGTACCTTGGTGTTAGCGGTGTGCAAGGGGCCGGGAGGTTTGAAGACAGTTTGAGTACATAGTTGCTTGGGAATGCAGGAGCCTGGACTCGATGGTCAGCAGGCCCCTTCCAGCCCCCTGGTCCTGGTGTAGAAAAGGGGATGGCCATTAAGACTGGAGGGTGAGAGCAAAGTTATCCGAATTCATCCCGGGCTTGGTTCGCCCATGGACCAAGGTGGATAAGGCCTGCTAGTATCTGTGGCCAGGCATCACGACTGCCCATCTTTGACTCCTTGGCCTGGATAAGAGTAACTTCTCCAGCAATGGTTCCCTGGCCTCACCAGCCCACAGGCAATGACACTGAGCAAGCTATGGGCTGCTGGCAACATCCTGCTTACTCTCCCTGTCTACCTAAAGAAACATGCACCTGTGTGAGGCAAAAACTCCTGCAGCCATGCGCGATGTTGGAGGGTCTCGTGGGCGTAGCATTGCCTATGAACCATCAGTTGGGTAGAATCATACACTCATAGAAAATGAGGGTGGAGGGGACCTCAGGAGGTCACATCTAGTCCAACCCCCTGCTCCAAGCAGGACCAGCCCCAGCTACATCATCCCAACCAAGGCTTTGTCTACCCGGGGCTTAAACACCTCCAAGGACGGAGAGTTCACAACTTCTCTGCGTAACCTGTTCCCGTGCTTTACTACCCTCCTCGTGCGAAAGTTTTTCCTACTATCTAACCTCAACTTTCCTTGCTGCAACTTGAGCCCGTTGCTCCTTGTTCTGTTATCTACCGCCACCGAAAACAGCCCAACTCCATCCTCTTTGGAGCTACCCTCCAGGGTACTCATGTACCAGAGATTCCCACTGAGATCTGAGCCACCTTTTCCTGGGCACTGAGCTTAAGACAAGAGGCAGCCCCTGCCCTGCAGAGCTTGCTAAGCTAACTGGCAAGAGGTAGCACTCCTATTTTACAGATGGGAGAACTGGGGCCCAGAGAGAATAAATGATTTGCTTAAGGTCACAAGAGAATTGTGTGGCAGAGATCAGGGGTGAACCCAGATCTCCCGAGGCCCAGCCCAGCACCAGAGGAGCAAGACTGTCCTTCCTTTCAGCAGCAAAACAGCTCCTCAGAGCAGGGGAAAAATGACTCTTGTGTCTTTAGAAAATGGAGCAACCAGGCGGCTGATACCAGCTCACTCTGGTGCTCTCCTGCCCTGCTGAGGATCTGTGGGTGAAGCCAGGAGAGAAGTTAATTAACAGCAGGAATGATAATGCATTAGTCACCCAGGGCAGGTGATGTCCCACAGCTAAGCCACAGAGTGCCGCGGGGGTAATTTCCCAGCTGCGATTCATTCCTGCCCTCCCTTATAGGCCTCATTTCTCCACCACGAACATGTAGTCCCGGCACCCCCTCCAGACTTGATTCTGGAGGTGCTGAGCCCTGCAGTGTCCATGGACTTCAGGGAGGTTGTAGTGCTTGCAAACGCTGCTGTTCTGAGTTGCTCTACAAGGTGTAGGACAACCGGGAACCACATCCCTGCAAGTCTCCAGCCTCCTTTTCCTGCACGGGAGACCTGTGTGCATGCATGGGAGACACATGGGAGTCCACTGCCCGAGGGGCTACCCGTGGGTCGGGGTGGAGCACTGAGCTACGCCACCGGGAGCCGCTGGGCTGGGGCTGCTCCACATCGTAGCCACGCACCGGTGTGGGAGGTGTTTTGCATTCACTTCCCTGAGGGGCAATGTGACAGCACCAGGTAGAGGTGCCTGGAGAGAAGCAAGACTCATGGGTGGATGGAAAGGCTCACGTGCCCAAGGGATGACTCCTCCCGGGTGGATGTTGTTGGTGCCTGGTATTCCCCAGCACCAGCCCCAGGGGTGACCAGCAACAGTGCAATCGTTGCTCTGTGACAGGTGCAGTAAAGCAGATGCAATGCTTTCTTTCCGCAGGAGCTCACATGAATGCCTCCATTACCTTCACCTACTGTCTCCTGGGGAAGCTGCCCTGGAAGAAGCTTCCAGCCTACGTGGTGGGCCAGTTCCTGGGGTCCTTTGTGGCAGCAGCCACGATCTTCGGCTTGTATTACGGTAGGGTGGCTTTTCCCCAGCTATGGTCCTGGCTGGCCGTGCGTTAGTTTGATTGCTGGACAGCCGCGCTGGGAAGCATGGCGCTGCTACGCGGGCCAGCAAAGGCAGGGCTAGTGCATCTTCCATGCTGTCTCCTGGCCAGCTGAGAATAGCACTTGGATGCTGAGTCCAGGAGGGTTTAAACCCATGCTGAAGCTGGGCAAATGGCTTGAGTGACACGTTTCAGGGCGTGCTGCTGATCCCACGTGAAGGAGCTACTTGCTCAGCTCCTGCCTCTCTGCCCTGCAGGGCCAAGCTGCCCGAGATCTCCCTTCTGCTGGTCCTTAGCCCATGATTAGATGCACACTAGGACAGGAGTGCTTTCACCTGGCTTAGTGCACAGTGTCAGGCAGAAAAGATATGCTGTGCCCTTGCACCTACCTTTTCTGGGTCCCCTATGAAAAGACACTTGCCCTGGGCTTGGCCCAAGAGACTTGAGCTCTCTTTGGGGAGCAAATGCCACCACTCTCGGAGAACCGTGCTCCCAGGCATTGGCCTCTTGGTCCCATGATGTTGAATGTCTCCACTGCCCTCACCCTGGCTGGGTTTTGGGGAGGATGCGCGTCTCTCTGGCCTGCTAGGGCTTTGTAGAGTAAAGGAAAGTAGGCCCCAGGAAGGTATTCTCACAACCCAAAGTCAAGCATGGCGCCTGCATCTGCTGTGTGTCATACTGCAGCCAGCCCTCCCTGAGGTTGTTGAGGCCGGGGCTCCCACGGCAAGAGCTGGAGGGGGAAGGATGCAGAATGGGTATAGCAGGTGGCTCAATGGGATGTGGTACTTTAAAACACCTTCGGCAGCTGCAGCTCCACCTCGACTGCAGCTGGAGCCGGGAGGAAGGGGGACACCTTGGAGGATCAGGACAAGGTGGGGTTTGTTTTGCTGCCTGCTGCTACCAGGAGCGAGACCATCTGGCTGCTGGCTCTGGCATGTCTCAAAAGCCTCCCCGGGGGACAGGGAAGGAGTCTTTCTTCTTTCTGGGGGCCCCCAAGGCTGTGCAGCTGCAGAGGGAGGTCACATCTAGCTCAGGCGGCTGCTGTCCTGTCTCCAGGCCAAAGTCTCCTGGAGATGAGCAGTCGATGAACTCTGTGCCTGGGAAGGGTGTGACAGCAAGGCCACATCCTCCTGGTCCTCTCCTCCCTTGCTGCAATTGTGGTGTCTGCACTGAGGGCCCTGCCCTGTCTCTCTGGCTCAGCCCGGTCCCCGCATGCATTACCCTGGTCTCCCTTTCTCCTAGATGCACTTTACCTCTACACTGGAGGCAACTTCACTGTGACGGGACCCAATGCCACAGCCGGGTTCTTCGCCACCTACCCAGCTCCGTATATGTCCCTGACGGGGGCATTTTTCAATGAGGTTAGTCCCCAGGGTGACTGTAGGGTGGAGGACGGGGATGGTTGGTGTCGAGAGGGTGCCACATGGATGATGCAGAGCCAGGAGCTGTAACAAGCCCCTATGTGGACGAGCTGAATGCCAAGAAGGAGGTTGGGTTGCAATGGGATGGGCTGCAGGCAAAGGCGAGTGGGCACAGCAATGTGGTATGATTGAGAGGTGGGTCCCTGGAAATGGAGAGTGCAGGAGCTGAGGGCGGGTGGATGTGTGAAGATGGGGAGTTAGCAGTGAGAGCCCCAGAGCAGGGCTTTGTTGTCCATGTTCCCGCAAGACACCGACTCTGCATGGCACGCAGCTCTGAGAGGTGCGCTTGCCTCGGTTTCTTGGGGGGCATCGGGGAACCCCTGCTTATTTTCCATCTTGGTGCATCATGACAAGGTCTCCAGGCAGCTTCAAACAGGCCACTGATAGAGCAATTGGGGAAGGGGCTGATCACACCGGGTGGGGCAGGTGGGGGACACCTGGATTGACTTTTCTGAGGATAGCAGGGGGTTTGGACCATTTGACCCCCAGGACCCTCCCATGGAGGGAGAGGATCAGAAAGCTGGCAATGAGACGCTGCACCCAGGGGCATGGCAGCATCATGGTGGCCATGTGCTGGATCAGGACCTACCCAAGCATGCCCCAGCCCAGAAATACACCATCTGATCCTGTGTGGTCTGTTGTTTTGGGGCTGAACCTGCCCCTTCTTCCAGCTGGGGGACAACCTGGCTTAGGAGGGACCAAGTCTTGTGCACTCACCAGTACAGGCCCGGTCCATTCCAGCTCCTTACACATTGCAAGTGCCTCATCCAACTTGATACGGCCCGTACCCAGGCTGGTCCTGTGTGGCTGACTGCACTGCTGAGGGAGTTTCTCTCTGCTATTCAGCTTAGCATTGATCACTGTCTGGTTGCTTCCCATGCTTTGCAGTTATAACCTTTTCCTTCTGAGCCTCTCCACAGCACCCCAAAAAGTTCCTCTCCTACCAGGGGCCTGGCAACCTTCCAACTTTCTCAGACAGCTTTCCTGGCTTGATGCTCTGGTGTGGTGATGTTAAGATGATTGCAGAACAGGAAATTTTGAACCTCGTGGCTGTGATTTAAGTGTATGTTGGCAAGGCAGTCAATTGTTCAGTCAAATATTGTCAATTGACTGGTCAGTTGACTTCATAATTTTGATTGGTCAAAGATTATAGCAGTTTTACAAAAGAAACATACTTTTTTTTGAGTTTTCTTGACAGAAATATGATTTTTATCAGGTTTTTTTGGGACCCATTTCTTAATGGAAAACTTGTGCTTTTCTGTGTATTATTTGGGCCTGTTAGCAATCTTTTACAATTATTAACTCATATTTTACGCAGTCAATTGACCTAACTTTATTTGACCGGTCAAATACCCAACCCTAGTATTTACTTGTGGCAGACAAGACCACGGCCAGATCAGACAAAGCAAAGGGTGAGATAAAAGTCCACCTTGTACATCAGGATGATGCACAACATTGTCTATTATGATCATACCTGCTAGCTGGGATTCAAATGCAAGTCATCTCCAGGTCCAGCTCATCAATGGAGGGTTACTGGAGAAAGAACATTGCATTCATCAACATCATCATCATCATTTAATCCCAGTCACGGACCAGGGCTTCTTGGCTGATATTGTATCAGGACAGCTCAGCTGTATGTCAGAGCCCCCATGCTGCAACCAGTGAATGGAGAGTCTCTTTCAGTTGAAACCTCAGGGGTCCTGTGCTCCTGGAGCAGAAAGATCCAGCTCTGCCCTGAACGGCCATGTAGTGATGACAGTAGAGTCCCCACATGTCCCCACACATCCAGGAGGGGCCAGCAGGGAACTGCATGCTCAGGGGCAACCAGCACGGGTTCATCAGCGGCAGGTCCTGTCAGACCAACCTGGTGGCCTTTTACGACCAGGTCACTAAATCATTGGATGCAGGGGTGGCAGTGGATATAGTTTTCCTAGACTTCAGGAAGGCTTTTGACACTGTCTCTCACCCCATTCTCATTAGGAAGCTGGGGGACTGTGGCGTAGACACCCATACAGTCCAATGGGTCGCCAACTGGTTAGAGAGTCGCACCCAGAGGGTGGTAGTGGATGGGTCCTTCTCGACCTGGAAGGACGTGGGAAGTGGGGTCCCACAGGGCTCGGTCCTTGGGCCCGCCCTGTTCAACATCTTCATCAGTGATTTGGATGAGGGGGTGCAAAGCACCCTGTTCAAGTTTGCTGATGACACTAAGATGTGGGGGGATGTGGGCACAATAGAGGGGAGCAACAGGCTACAGTTGGACCTAGATAGGTTACAAGGATGGGCGGAGGAGAACAGGATGGGGTTTAACACAGACAAGTGTAAGGTGATGCACCTGGGGAGGAACAATCGGCACCATACATACAGGCTGGGGAACTCCCCTCTTGTCAGCACGGAGGTGGAAAAGGATCTGGGAGTCATTATTGACTCCAAGATGAACATGAGTCGGCAATGTGGGGAGGCGGCTAGGAAGGCCAACTGCACCTTGTCGTGCATCCACAGATGCATCTCGAGCAGGTCCAAGGAGGTGATCCTCCCCCTCTATGCGGCACTGGTCAGGCCGCAGCTGGAGTACTGCGTCCAGTTCTGGGCGCCGCACTTTAAGAGGGATGTGGACAGCATCGAGAGGGTCCAGAGGAGGGCCACTCGTATGATCAAGGGACAGCAGGGTAGGTCCTATGAGGAAAGGTTGCGGGACCTGAACCTGTTCAGCCTTCAAAAGAGAAGGCTGAGGGGGGATCTTGTGGCCTGTTATAAACTGGTTAGGGGGGATCAGCAGGCGCTAGGGGAGTCCCTGTTCCCCTGAGTGCCGCAAGGAGTGACCAGGAACAATGGTCACAAGCTGGCGGAGGGAAGGTTTAAGTTGGACATCAGGAGGCGCTACTTCATGGTCAGGGCGGCTAGGGTCTGGAACCAGCTTCCATGTGAGGTGGTGCAAATGACTTGACCCCAGTGCTCTTCCTGCCATGGCAGGGGGTCAGACTAGATGATCTGCTCAGGTCCCTTCCGACCCTAGAAACTATGAAACTATGAAACATGGCCTCAGATCTGGCTTATCTTCTAGGCAATGCACAGCATGACTGCTGCATGGGGACTCTGCCATACCAGAGTATAATTGCAAAGCATGGGATCAATTCTAAGCTCAATCGATCCCAAGCTGAATGGCGGTGTGAGCTCCCAGCAGCCACAAAGCCATCACTTTCATTAACGTTTTTGGGTGGAGCAGCTGCAAAAATCCAGGTGCCGAATAAATTCCCACAAAGTAGAGGGACAAAAGCAGTTGTCTCAGCTCAAGTCCCATGATGCCCGTGACACTGCAGGGCTAAAAATGATGGCTGTGCTCCATCAGAGAAGGGAGATTCATTTTCCCCCTGTGGGCAGAGCACCTGGCAGCAGCCGTGAGAGCGGCTGGCATTTGTGTCCTGACACCTTTACATTGAGCACGGCTGGCTGCTTCATTGCTGCAGGTTTTCAGGACTCTGCCTGAGCCTGGTACAAACAGGGTCATCTGCCCTGCAGTGTTAGAGACCTCAGTAGTGCTGCTGGGCCGGTCGGTCCTGCTCACCCTGTCCTGCTCTGTGCATGACGAGGCAGTGAGGACAGCCCAGGGCATCCTGGCACTACACGCAGGACCTAGACTCCTGGCCTGCTCAGGAGCGGCGGCTTGGGGGACCCATGTCATCCTCTCCACCTCACTTCTCATGTTGATGAGGACACGAAGCAGAGATGGGGGCTTCTTGGCTCAAAGGCAAGACTGACCTTTGGCTTCTGTGATGTATCCTCAGTGCTTAGGGCTACTGGAGAGGAGAGATGAAAGATAGTTTCACTCAATGTCTGTGCGTCCATATTCATGTTACTGGTTAGTGTGATGGATGCTTTTACTAGGAACTGGGCTGCCTATTCCACACGGGCTCCACAGCATCTGGCCAGACATCAAATGATGGCCCCGGGGGAAAAAGTTTTCACATTTGTGGATAATTCATCTTTTCAAACCACCTCTGGGATCTCTTCCTTTTACGCAGTGACCAGTTTCTATCCCTCTCTGAGGTGCTGCTTTCTCAACCGACCTGTTTCTTCCTCTGCCTCTAGTTTATTGGCACGGCAGTGCTGCTTTTGGGCATACTGATCATCCATGACGAGAAGAATAATCCAGCCTTAAAGGGAACCCAGGCAGTGGTCACGGGGCTCCTGGTCTTTGTGATCGGCATGTCAATGGGAATCAACACAGGATATGCCATCAACCCCTCAAGAGACCTCCCTCCCAGGATCTTCACTGCAATAGCCGGCTGGGGACTGGAGGTCTTCAGGTAAGGGGTCCATTTCATGCTGGGCAGATCACAGAGGTTTCCCTGACCCTCCCCCCGGTTTGGTGAAGGCACAGGACTGGGAACCCATCTGGGTGCCATGTCTGAGCTTGAAACAAGTTTTCCGGATAACCCAGGGCAAATCATTTAACTTTGGTCTGTGTGGCACTATTTGTAGGATGTGGACAGTAAAGCTTCCTTACCTGAGTGGGTGCGATGAGCCTTGCTTCATCTGGAGTTTGACCCAAAGCTTCTCAAAGTCCATAGCAAACCTCCCATTGATTCAGAGGGAGTCTGAAATCCTCACACAGAAAGTCTTTGAACGTCCCCTTTGAAATCCTCACACAGGAGTGCAAAATGCCACTGCAGAAGGAGTCAGAAAGCTTGCAATTAAAGCATTTTTTTCCCCCCAAATCTGGTTGGTTTAATAAAAGATATCACCTCTGCCATGAGCTCTGATTCCTTTTTGCCTCCAGATGAATACAGCTACAACCTGAATACCTGACACTGTAAAAACAGTGTATTCTAGGGGGAAAAAAGCTCTGCTACAAGAGAATTTCACTGTATGCATCAGTGAAGGACATGGACAGACACAACCCAGTCTGGGCTAGTACCTACACAGGATAGGACAGCAGGGCATATGTTCTGTCCCCGTTTGACTCATCTGAAATCTCTTTCCTGTGTTTTCTTTTAGGGCTGGAAATAACTGGTGGTGGGTCCCGATCGTAGCTCCGACGTTGGGAAGTCTGTTTGGCGTTTTAGTCTACAAACTCTTCATTGACCTTCATAATCAGCCGGCCACAGACAATGGAAACGAGAAAGAGAAGTACACTTTGGAGAGTGCTCGGATGTGACGTCCAGCTGTTCCCCAGAACTAAGCCTGAAAGCAAAGCTCTAGACAAGGCGTGTTGCACGCATGCACTTACACTGATTGTCACTGACTGGCTCTTGAGACACCCACTGGCAATAAATGCACCTTTAATTTATTCATCCCCCACTTCTGGAAGGTGTGAGGATGGAGGCTAGGTTTGAATAAATCTTTGCAACTCGATCAGACTAACTGGGATTTCTAATGGATCACATTATTCTCAAGAGGGCCAAATGTGGCTCTGCCCTAAATAAGTTATTCAATAGGATTTAAAGTTTATTAACTATTTTTTTCTCTATGGAAATAACGCATATAACTCCATCGCACTGGTGAAAATCCCTGCACAGCTTAAATGATTCCAGGCACGTAATTCTGTCACATCCCAGATGTGAAAAGCAATAGGGAGGTATGGATTAAGCTCACCATGTGCTCTATTCAAGGCAAGGTCAGTGCTTCCCCATGGGGTGACAGCACCTTGAACAAAGGTGTTTTGATTGTGAATGCTGCTTGGTAATACAGCAAGGCCTGAATCCCAGAGCCTGGCTCCTTATTCAGTCTTCAGACGGGGAGGGGGATGGGGGTCAGCCCCGTTGATTTAGTGTGACCCTGCCTTTAATGGGTAACCTCCCACTTATAACTCCCACTTATAACAAGGCTATCAAGCATCTGGTCTGGCAGGATGGAGGGAGGAGTAGCCTGTTCTCACTAAGGCTTTGGCAGCTTTCAGTGGAGTCTCTCCTTTCCTGACTTCTGTGTCCACAGTGTGAACCTTAAGTGCTGGGCAGTCTCCTGTCCAGAGACCTTCTGATCCCTTGTTCTGTCTTGGTGGACTCTTGTGGACCAGGACATTTGCTTTCTGCAACTGAAAGCATTCAGCTGTGGAGCTACAGCTTTAAACAGGATCTTTTAATGCTGAAACAGAAAACAAGCTCCTCCCACACCACTCAGGAAAACACCAGGAGACTTAGGAACGAGTCCTGAGCCTGGAGGGGCTGCTTCTACAGGGCAGGGGAACAGGTATTCAGCCTCGTTACTGGCCCTCTGACCCCCTCCAGCATCCTCAAAAACAAGCATGCCGAATCTTCCTCTTCCCAGGCCGACACGTGAGGGTGACTCTTTCTACCCCTCTCCTGTGCTTGATCCCCAAGTGCTCCAGGGCTGCTGCAGGACTTCAGCACACGACTGGGTTTCTGGAGCTGGACAACATAGATGAGCAGTGGTGTTACGATGGGTCCAGATGTCCTGCTCCAAGGATGGCAACCATAGACTGCAAATCCTCTCTCACAAAAGCCAGGCTGTTCACCTCGGGCTGAATCAACGGACTGTTTTTCGGGACTCTGCCTCTTCCCCCTGGTTTCAGCTGACCTTAAGTTTGTAACAGCATGACTTATCTGTGGAATTAATAAAGCAGAAATGTGTCTGGGCCACTCCACCAGCCCTTGTGCCTTTTGGTTGATGCTTCTACACTGTGCACAGGTCTCACGTGTCCTCAAAGCCAAGTCTGCTGAGTGAGGGCCTCACAAGGTAGAAAGTCTGAAGCTGAAAGGGCTCAGAAAGAGCTGCTTTTAGCTGGAAGGGATTCTTTTAGCATAGCTGTGAGGCGACCTTCCCAGGACCTCTCATGTGCCCTGATGTAGACGCTGCTCTGGGGGCAGTAGGACCTAAAGGCAGCTGATATTTTGAACAGTGCTGCCATATACAGGGCAGCTTTAAGGATGCTGTTGCTGCAATTTAAATGGTCCTGCAGGATGGGCAGCACTGAAGTGGAGGCCTCAGAACAGCTTGAGATTGGATCAGCTTAAAAATCATGATAGCTCATTCATCCTTGGTGGGAAATTTTGAGCACCGTCTCTTAGAGGAACAGCTCACATCCCCACTCGCAGCCTGGCCTGTGGGTTCCTAAAGCACTTGGTATTCAAGACACAGTCATTTTGGAGGAAAATATTAAACTCTTTATTAAAATAGTATGTAGCACTCGCACAGTGCTTTAATATTTTAAAGGGCTGTACAAATATTTATGCCTCACCCACCCCTGAGAGGTAGGTTGGTAGGATGCAGTTTGGCAATCCTTTGCTAAATAAAACACACCACAATTGAAATAAGCATTGGTCATTTTGAGACAGTGCCTGACTTCTCTATCTGGACAGCCACACAAACATCTTGGGGTGTCAGCTACACTGCACATGGCTGCCGGGATGGGCTTGTATTCCAGGATAAATGCAAGTGGCTTACATCATTTGTGGGTGTGTGTGGTACAAGGCGGGGGTTGACTTACCTTGCATTTTCCATGGGGAAGGCATGCACATGAGCAATTACTGCAGGGCAGCTGTACAGTCACACTCTTGCTTGCCTCAAACTTGAACCTCCCATGCCCTCAGACACACAAGCATGTCCATGGAGCAATGGCGGGTGCAGGTGAAGACCAGCAGCAAATAGGTTAAAGTGCAGTTTTGCCCTGAAGGATCACTCGGTATAAAATGGCAGCGGAGGAGGATTGCATGCTTCTTGAGACTCAAGGGGATGAGCTGCGTGGTTACACGTTCTGCAATTTCAGTGTAAGCTGGATGGGTCTGTGCCCTCCAGGCTTTGTGCAGGTGCCTGGTTATGACCGGGCGGAGGGCAGGAAGGTGTAATGGCCTGTGGCTCTGGCTCTTCTCCCTCCTCCTGTATGGATGCCTGGCTGACCTGGGCAGGCACAACGGGGCCAGCTTTCATCTTGGGGTAGCTCCACGTGGCATCAAGGCTGCAGTGAGTGGTTAGGCAGCTGAGGGGAGCTCTGGTCTCTTCCACGGCAGGCTCCACGTGTGGTGGGAAAGGGCACAGGTGGGGAGCTGCAAGCCAAGGTTTGTTTCTTCTAAGCAACCTTAGTTAAGAGAGGGGCTGAGATGCAGTGAGGATGGGAAGGCCCTTCCCTTTGACATCTGCAGGGATACTCAGACCCCAGAGGGTGCTGAGAAACTTGTGGAGAAAACCCTGGTGACTTTGTAGACAGCCATGTGAAGTAAGGAGTCCGGGTGGTCCTGGTGCAGGTTAGAAGCCTGGGGACAGCAGCTTTCAGGGGTGAGCATCGCTGTCCTGAGACACCAGAGGAGATGTCTTATGGAGGAAGCTCTGTGTGCTGCAGCTTGGCAATCCTCACTGAGCAGCAGGAATAAAGTCCCACTGCAGCCCCATGATACTGGATATTCAAATGCTGCAGCTGAAACCATGAGAAACCTTTCTACTCCTTCAAAAAAGCCTTCAACCCTATTTCCTGCACCGGCCCAGGTCCTACAGCAGTGGATGGCAGAGTATTCATTCACTTCTTAAAGGCAGGGATTGCAGGTGATCAGTGCCTCTTAGGATCATACCCTTCACTTCTACTTTGTACAAGCAGCTTCTGGTTGGGATACCAGGCTCTATCCCTGGTCCCCAGCACTGTCCTTGGCTGGTCATGGTGCGAGATGCCTTGGCTCTTTTGCACTGCTCTGGGCATTGGCAGCTCTGAGAAAGGGGGCATGTTCTGCTCCCTAACACGAAAAGGCTACAGTTGTTTAAAGCACAGTCTGTGTAAAGGGTTAGGGCCATCTAAGATGAGGGTAGAGAGGCAAGTAGCTTCAAACACTCGTGACACCACTGACCGAAAATGCAGGGCTCTGTCTGCTCTCTTCAACACCACAGGGGAGCATCCACTAACATCAGTGGGTTTCCTCCTGCTTTTGCTGCACATGGCAATCTGGGCAGACTTTTTTCCTTCCAAAGGAGATGAAAAATGATTTGTGTGTGCATACTGTATTCAACTGGGTGCATGCTGTATTCAATTGGGTGGATTTATGTGTGCATGCTGTATTCTGTGGGTGGATAAAGAGAGTTAAATAGATTTTTGGGTGCTGCAGTCCATCAGTGGTAATGCAACCCCTACAGGGCATCTATAGCCCTTTTGTCCACTCCAACAGGAATAAGATTTACCAGCATCTCTACAGGGTCTTGCTGAAAGGCACCAGGAGCAGCAGGGCTGAGGATCTCCACCCTGCTCATAACATGGATGGTGGTCATGCAAGGGCTGTGATGCAGTTTCTGTGGGGGGGCTATTCATGCACAAGCGATTTGGTCTGCACCTCCGAGAGGCCGTCACGGGCCTTCGTGGTCTGGGACGCGCGTGTTCTCCAGTCACATCTGTGGGTCTCGCTTCCGGGAAGAGTTCCCGGGTACTGAGGAAGCCTTGGAGGAGGTGGTGCTGGTGTGGCTCTTCTGGGAGCCGGCCGGCTGGGAGGGCAATTTCTTTTTGAGCACTGGCGTTTTGTTCTTGCTTTTAAACACCTTGTTGGGGTCCAGCTTGTTCACAAAGGCGTCGGCTTCTTCCGAGAGCAGCGCAGTGTTGATGGTGATGGGCTTGTACATGTTAAACCATTGCTGGAAAACAGGGTGTTGGAAAGGCAAACAAGAAAAGAAGTCAGCACAGGTTAGAGCCATGTGGAGGGATGTCCTAGAACCGACGTGCAGTTTAAACCCACCCAGAAGCCCATCACCAAGAACGTGTGTTGCTCTGTGTGTCAAGTGTTTTATGACAGAGGTGCTTGATGTACACTTCCCGAGAAGGCAGGGGACATGCGATTCAGAGGACCAGTTTTTCTCTCACTTGACATGAGTTCTTTATAGGGGAACACTATCAGAAACATCACCCTGTTACACATAAGGGAGAGGGGGAACAAAGCTGAGCTCACTTGGATTCAGAGAAGCACAAAGGGGATTAGACCTCTGCATTTAAAATTACTTAAAAAAAAAAAAAAATCAGTCAGGAATTTCTGAGCCTCTCAAACAACACAAGCCCCCTCCCTCATCTTCCAGCAGTGCCATATTTCAATCTGTGTGCCAGAAAAAGTCTGGGCTCACTTCTTAGCTGACTGATTTCCTGCCCAGAAGTCACCGTAACCATTATCTGGTTCTCAGGTGCCACCAAGAGGCTTTAATCTGCTAAATTCACATTCCTGCTGCCTACTGCTTTCCCTGTTACAGCCACCTGATTGAAAGAGGCAGATAGTGTAGGGGTCGATGTGGCAGGGAGCCTGATAAGACAGCCTGCTCTGGAAGCAAAGCAAAATGCTCACCAGGGTAAACAGGCTGGTACATAAATGTATAGGGTTGCAGATAGATTGGAAATAGCCTCACCCTCCGGCGAGGACTTTCAAAAGGATAATGTCAGTGAGGACTATGGTAGGCTTCAGAGAGGCTTCTAAAATGGTACAAAGAAGGACTCTAGGTGACCAAGTCCACAGAAGTGCTCCAGCCCACCCCCCACTTGGTGGCTGGCTATGTGAGAAGCCCGTCTCCATTCCTTTGGTACCTTGTTTTGGCCTGCAAAGTCCCTAAGGTGCCTACACGTGGGCTGCCATGTGCGATGGCTGTGCCTCAGTCAGAACAACTTTCTCACTGAAGCTCTATGGAGACGCAGACGCAAGGCGAGGTAGCACCTGTGACTCGCCTAAGTGGTAGGAGGGCCCCTATGAGGCATGCTCAGACTATGCCTAGTGCGTGCTAACAGCCTGGAGCAATACAGCACTGAGCATGCAAGTAGTAGAACCCATTGACCTTGCTTCTCTGAATCTCACTTTTCAGGTGCCTAATATTGACGTCATGTGTCATCTAAGTGGAGGCACCTAAAGAGCCTTTCTGGATCTCACCCTAGGTGACTGGAGTGGCCAAAGGCTAGCAAATGAGGGGGATGTCATCTAAATGAGTAACTGGAGCATCTGGGGACTGGACACACCATCATGTCACTCAAGTATCAAGGAATCACTGGCAATCTCTTGATACATGGATGACAGTCTTCAGTAACTAGGGAAGTCATCAGTGAGTCCTGAGATGACTGGGGAGGCTACTCCGAGATCTACATGTTTGACAAATAGTTCCAGGAGGCAGGAGTAGATCCTGGTGACGTTGGGTCACAGCTCTTCCCCCATAGCTGTCTCATCCATCTGCTTCCATAGCTAGGTAAGTCTGCTCAAAATGATCGATGCCTTGTTGTGCTTCACAGTGCCATTGGGGCTGATTCTCTCACACACTGATGTGTGAGTCTCCCAGGTATTGATATTAATGTCATATTTCTTAAGACTGGTCTTTGAATCGCTTCCTTTCCCCACCCCTAGAGTAGTGATCAGTGGAGAGTTGGGAGTATAGGAACTGTTTTGGGAGCCAGTTGTCAGGCACCTTTATGATGTGTCCTGTCCAGTGGAGCTGGTGTTGTATAAATTTGGCTTCAATGCTGGTGGGGTTTGCTTGAGCCAGAAAGCGGACACTTGTTTTTCTGTCCTTCCAATTGATATGGACGATTTGCCCAGGACATCACTGATCGTTCCAAAGCTTTCAGGCGTTTCTGATATGTCATCCAAGTTTCACACCCGTGCAACAGGATAGGAATGACAACAGCCTGGTAGATGAGAAATTTGGTTTGGG